ATCCACTCACCTCAGCCTCCCAAAGCGCTGGGATTACAGGCTGAACCACCGAGCCTGGCTCAGAAGTGATAATTATTGATGCCAAATAATTATCAGCTGGCATCTTAACCCACAGGGAAGGAATTTCTAGAAACCATCGGACAGAGTCTCTGGATCTGCATCTTAACTCTTGTGAATCATTTTTTATTTGTTTTTGAGTTGGGGTCTCACTCCATCACCCAGCCTGGAGTGCAGTGGCACACTCACAGCCACCCCAGCATTGACCTGCTTGGCCCCGACAATTCTTCCGCCTAAGCCTTCCAAGTAGCTGGAACTACAGGTGTGCACGACCACACCCGGCGATTTCTAAAAATTTATTTATTGTAGAGATGAGGTCTCTCCAAGTTGCCCGGGCTGGTCTTGAACCCACGGACTGAGGTAATCCACTCACCTCAGCCTCCCAAACTGCTTGGATTACAGGCTGAGCCACCGAGCCCGACCTTGTAAGGCATTTTGATGAGTTCCGTGATCTATATGACCTTGCCCACCACATTTTTGAGTCTACAGAAAATCTGTTGTAAATTTAAAAATGATCCTTAAAAATGCTTGTGAGATTACGCCCGTGTCTGCCCCAAACACTCCAGTGACTTCCTGTGACATTCAGAAGAAACTCAGTGCTCCCCCAGCCTCCAAGGCGCCTCATGAGCCTACATTACAATGGCTCACGCCTGCAATCCCAACACTGTGAGAGGCTGAGGCAGAAGGACTGCTTGAGATCAGGAGTTTAACACCAGCCTGTGCAACATAGTGAGTTCCCCCTCCCCCCACCCCTACAAAAACTAGAAAAAAGAAAAAAAAATTTTTAAAAACAAGAGGACATTAGAACGCGGACATAGAGACACCATACGGGCCCACACAGAGACAGCCACGTGAACATACAACAAGAAGGCAGCCTTCTGCCAAGGACGGAGCCTGCTGAAAAAACAAAGTCTGCTGACAACTTGATGTTAGACCTCTGGACTCCAGAGCTGTGAACATACATTTCTATTGCTGAAGCCACCTGGTCTCCAGCATTTTGTTAATGGTGGTGCTAACAAACGAACGCCACCAGGCTAGAGCCCCCCCCAGTCCTTCCCTGCCCTGCAGTGAGTCTCCTCATAGCACAGGATGATATGCACCTGTGTCTTCACACCTTATCTCCCCCTCCACCATGAAAATGCCTCGAGAACCTCGAGAACAGCACTTTGTCTCACTCAGGGCTGCATTTCTGATGTCTAAAGTGGTCCACGACACATAGCAGGTGTTCAGTAAATATGTGATTAATGAGGCTGATCATGGTGGTTCACGCCTGTGATCCCAGCACTTTGGGAAGCCGAGGTGGGAGGATCAGTTGAGCTCAGGAGTTCGAGACCAGCCTGGGCCACATAGCAAGACCTTGTCTCTACAATAAAATAAAGAAGAATCAGCCAGGCATGGTAGCGTATGCTTACAGTCCCAGCTACTTGGGAGGCTGAGGTGTGAGGATCGTCTGAGCCCAGGAGGTAGAGGCTGCAGTGAGCCGTGATCATACCACTATATTACAGCCTGAGTGACAGAGTGAAACCCCGACTCAAAAAAATTGTTTTATTAATCAATTGTTAAATATACTGTACATAACAGCCAGCTCTACAACAACTGTAATAGGAGCTGTGAGCAGTGGCACACAAGCACAGATAGCGGGTCATGCATTTAAGTCACATGAGTCAACTTGCTCCCTAAATGTCTGGGAACTTGTATGGAAATGACTATAATCCCGGCAGGCAACTCGTCAACCAGCTGAAATAGACCTAATAACAAGAGAGGCGCTAAGTGGAAGCCGTGAATGTGAAATCAAGTTCAAGAACACACTTTTTTCCCTGCTTTCATGGTCAGTATACTATATTTGGAATAATTAGGAAAAAGCACACCACAAAGAAGCTCGTGTTCAAAAGGCAGAGACTTGAAAGTCTTTGAACACCTCACTAGAAATGATCTAACCAAATGAGATTAAAATTCCAGATCAAAGGTAGCAAAAATAAAGAAAGAGAAGAAAGACTATCAGGAGACTGTGACTCCACGCACCCTGAATGGCACGCAGATGAGGAGACATGAGGTTCCGTCGCAGATAATTCTACTCCCAACCCCCGGGAAGGACAGCATAGCAACACTGTTCTTGGAAATATCACTGGTCATTTCCACAGCCTCCACCTGCTGGGCTCAGGTGATCTTTCCACCTCGGTCTCCCAAGTAGCTGGGACTACAGGCGTGTGCCACCATGCCTGGCTAATTTTTTGTAGAGACGAGGTCTCACTATGTTACCCAGACTGACCTCGAACTCCTGGGCTAAAGCGATTCTTCCACCTCCTGATCTGATTGGTCCGGGAGGCGATAAACAATAGAGAAAACAATAATAATGATACAGAGGGATGAATCTTTGCTGTCATATAATAAGTCAGCAGTGGCGACGGTTGGGTGCGGTGCCTCAGCCTGTAATCCCAGCACTTTGGGGGTCTGAGAGGCGGGAAGATTGCTTGAATCCAGGAGTTTGGGGCCAGCCTGGGCAACCTAGTGAGACCTCATCTCTATAAAAAAATAAAAAAATTACCTGGGCATGGTGGCATGTCCCTGTAGTCCCAGCTACGTGGGAGGCTAAGGAGGGAAGATTGCTTGAGCCCAGGAAGTTGAGGCTGCAGTGAGCAGGGATTGTGCCACTGCACTCCAGCCTGGATGGCAGAGTGAGACTCTGACTCAAAAAATGAAATAAAATAAAAGAAGTGTGTTTTGTTTATCGACTACTATCTGAGGTTCTACCTGTGGTGTCCAATCCAATGCTGTAGGCAAAGCTTCATGTTACTTGCCTCATCAAGCAAACCTATGCTGAACAAGGTTAGGCCCTTATCCTCCTGCTGACATGCAAGCCAGGGTCACGACACTGACTCACCTCTGTGTTTCAAGAGCCTTACATAGGGATACGCTCCCTTGATTTTTTGAATGAATAAATGAATATCAAAATAAAAGCAAACATATGGCCGCCCTCTAAAAATATAACACCAATGGCTCAGTTTCTTGAGCGATTCATGAGTCATGAATTCAAAACTGTTAAATCCTTAAAAAAAAAAAAAATCCCTCTGGCCAGGCATGGTGGCTCATGCCTGCAATCCCAGCACTTTGGGAGGCTGAGGTGGGAGGATTGCTTGAGATCAGGAGTTACAGACAAGCTGGGCAATATAGCGAGACCCCATCTCTACAAAAGGATGTAAAAGGCTCCTCAGGCTGGGCATGGCGGCGCACACATGTAGTCTCAGCTACTTAGGCGGAGGTGGGAGGATCGCCTGAGCCCAGGTGGTTGAGGCTGTGGCGAGCCCAGGCAATGTTCTGGGTTCACACAGTGCGGGTGGAGCCGAACCCCTACCCGACCCAGACATGACGGGCACATGGGCTTGGCCAGCCACTAGGTTTCCTGCCTCTTGACCACAGGAGTGGGGCTGGGAATGTTAAGTGGACCGAGACAGGCCAGGAGCCTCCAGGACTCACGCTGGGACTGTGGAGGGGGAAAAAGCCCGCTCCTCCCACCAGACCTGAGGCTGCTAGATGGAGGCCTGGTGCTCCTTGGGGGAGCCTGATGGCAAAGCTGTGGGCACCTGAGGGAGGCGAGAAAGTCTGTGAGAGAGAGAGAGTAGGGGGGAGAGAGAGAGAGAGAGAGAGAGAGAGAGAGAGAGAGAAGGAGAGCGAGAGAGAGACATGAAGAGAGAAAGGGAGAGAGACAGGGAGAGGGGGAGGAGAGAGATGGAGAAAGATGGAGAGAGAGAGAGATGGGGAGACAGAGAAGGAGAGAGAAAGAAGAGTCAGAGAGATGGAGAGACAGAGGAGAGAGAGAGAGAGAGAAGAAGAAGAAGAAGAGATGGAGAGAGGGAGAGGGAGAGACAGGGAGAAAGAAAGAGGGCGAAAGAGACGGGGGTGGGGGTGGGGGTGGGGGAGAGAGACGACTCCACCAGGAACACCCCACTCTGCAAGGAACATCCGTGGATAAGCACGAGGCCTGGAGGACAGAGTCTGAGAGGACCAGAGGCCTGTCCCTCATCTGCTCCTGGGAGCCAATCAAGCCCCCTTCTCTGCGGAGCCCAGCGGGGAAACGAGTGTTTTTAGAGAAACCCAGGAAAGAGGGTCATGGCGGCTTTGGCCTGTGCCTTGAGGCTGCCACAAGAGAAAATCACCGGGCTGGCGACCTCTCCTTCCTGCTTCAGCACTGCGGGGAAGAGTCACCCTTGAATTAAGCCAGGAAGGAAGAGTAGTCCCCAGGCCAGCACGAGGCCCACAGCCCACGCGGCCCCCAGCACATGGGGTTCTCTTGGGGGGACGGGGAGGTGGCCGATGGCAGCGTGAGGCGTTCCCTCCTGTGCAGAAGAAAAGGACACACAAGCATCTCAGTCAAAGGCATGTTGAGGTCCCTCCATCCCCCAAATCCTGTCCTCCTACCCCCTCCTTCCCTTCCTCCTCCCTCCACTTTCCCCCCATCCCTTCCTTTTCTTCTCTCTCTTTTTCCCATGGTAAAATACACATAATATAAAATTTACCATT